GTGCATGCTTTTCAGGAAATATGGATCAAGAACAAAATGACAAGACAGTCAAAGGAACAATTTTGGTGAGTAAAACTACTGCACATTAAACATTCTAGTTGTTGTACTTGTGTTTTTGTTTGACCCAATTTTCTCGATCATTGACATGTCAACAATGTTGGAAGCAGATTCCATGCCGAACAGCTACTAGAGGAACCTTCCCTCTTAATGGAACATACTTTCAGGTCAATGAGGTGAGATTACAACTATTCTTATCTTCAGTTCACATGCCAGTAGCCATATAAATTGGCCAGGCTTCCTAAAGCTCGTGTTTATGCAGGTATTTGCTGACCACAAAACCACTCGATGCCCTATTGCTGTTCCAAGAGAATCTATTTGGGAACTACCAAAGCGATCATTATATTGTGGAACAGGTGCAACATCAATATTTAAAGGTGTGAGAAAACCCATATTATTTTGCATATTTTTATTGGAAGGTGATCTATGGCTTTGAATTTTGCAAATGATATAAGAAATGTTTGATCTTGTAATCTAGGCATGTCAACTAAAGAAATCCAATATTGCTTCTGGAGAGGTAAGAAACCAAAAAAAGAAACTCTGTTTTCGACACAACTATCTTCTAAGAAAACGAGATGGATTTTATCGCTAAATTATTAATTTACTTATTGCATTTACGTGTTTTCAATCGCTTACAGGTTTTTTCTGCATTAGAGGGGTCGACAGGGTTACTAGGGATGCCAGACCACTTTCAGTCAAATTCCACCCTCACAACAGTAAGACTAAACATGCAGACGACGAGTAAAGCAAAAATGACGTCTGGCGGTAGGTAAAAGAAATTGGTAATAGCTATAAATAAAATCAGGAATGGACTATCGTTTGGAAGATGAGAGTCCAAGAAGTAAAAATGACAGGGCTATTTGTTTTTTCTTTAATTTTTCGTTTACAGGCACAGAATCGTTATTATGAAAAACTATGCCCTTTTTTATATCTATTGTTCATCACATGTGATATTGTAATATATTCACTTACCTTGATCCTATATTCAAACATCTTTCTATATATAAAAA